AAAATACTACGATTAGTGAAGAAATACTACGACGAGCGTAAAAATACTACGATTAGTGAAGAAATACTACGACGAGCGTAAAAGTACTACAATGAGCGTAGAAATACTACAATGAGTGTAAAAATACTACAATGAGCGTAGAAATACTACAATGAGCGTAGAAATACTACGACGAGCGTAAAAATACTACAATGAGTATAAAATACTACGACGAGCGTAAAAATACTACAATGAGCGTAGAAATACTACAATGAGCGTAAAAATACTACAATGAGTATAAAATACTACGACGAGCGTAAAAATACTACGACGAGCGTAAAAATACTACGACGAGCGTAAAAATACTACGACGAGCGTAGAAATACTACAATGAGTGCAAAAATACTACGACGAGCGTAAAAATACTACGACGAGCGTAAAAATACTACGACGAGCGTAAAAATACTACAATGAGTATAAAATACTACGACGAGCGTAAAAATACTACGACGAGCGTAAAAATACTACGACGAGCGTAAAAATACTACAATGAGTGCAAAAATACTACGACGAGCGTAAAAATACTACGACGAGCGTAAAAATACTACGACGAGCGTAGAAATACTACAATGAGTGCAAAAATACTACGACGAGCGTAAAAATACTACGACGAGCGTAAAAATACTACGACGAGCGTAAAAATACTACGACGAGCGTAAAAATACTACAATGAGCGTAAAAATACTACGACGAGCGTAAAAATACTACGACGAGCGTAAAAATACTACAATGAGTGTAGAAATACTACAATGAGTGCACAATACTACGACGAGCGTAAAAATACTACAATGAGTGCAAAAATACTACAATGAGTGTAGAAATACTACAATGAGTGCAAAAATACTACGACGAGCGTAAAAATACTACAATGAGTGTAGAAATACTACAATAAACGTAAAAATACTACAATGAGTGCAAAAATACTACGACGAGCGTAAAAATACTACGATTAGTGAAGAAATACTACGACGAGCGTAAAAATACTACGACGAGCGTAAAAATACTACGACGAGCGTAAAAGTACTACAATGAGCGTAGAAATACTACAATGAGTGTAAAAATACTACAATGAGCGTAGAAATACTACAATGAGCGTAGAAATACCACAAAGAGTGCAAAAATGCTACGACGAGCGTAAAAATACTACAATGAGTGCAAAAATACTACGACAAGCGTAAAAATACTACGACGAGCATAAAAATACTACGACGAGTGTAGAAATACTACAATGAGTGAAGAAATACTACAATGAGTGCAAAAATACTACGACGAGCGTAAAAATACTACAATGAGTGCAAAATACTACGACGAGCGTAAAAATATCACAATGAGTGTAGAAATACTACAATCAGTGCAAAAAGGAAAATACTATTAAAAAATTTCGATCGCACTTCAAATAGTTTTCGAAAAAAGCATTTTTTAATATGTGAAAAGGAGCGAATGGTTTTTAGCGAATATCTCGGGAATGGTTAGAGCCATCATGAAAATTGTTGCACCTGCAGATACATATTTTAAATACGCATATTTCATTCATATACATCATGACCCTGTGTTGAATATTTTCCGAGATATAGGCGTTTGAACTTGAAAATTTGAACCAGTTTTTGGGGTATATCTCGCGAACGGTAAGAGGTATTGCAAAACGGTGAGAGGTATTTTTTACGTATCAGGAAATGCAACTTACTTTAAGGAAAAATGCCGCTTACACATAGTTTTAATTTATGTTACAGAAAATATATACATAAATAAGTATGTATGTACATATACGTGTATAAATGATTTCTAAATTAAATTCTAGTCTTTTTAATTATAGTACCTATTCAAGTAAAAGTGGTATTTAATTATGTTTACATTCAGCATAGATTTATTAATATGCATATTCCAAATAAAAATCTAGAATTATATTGGATAAAAAAGTTTTTTAGTATTAAAAAAACAATTATCAATCGTAAAATTTAGAGTTGAAATAAATGTAAAAAAATATTAACTTCCCTTAGAAAAGTGTCATTAAAATTTGCCATTCGGCGGTCAAAAATGATCATTAGACATATGCACATCAAATTATCAGATATTTTATAGGAATTTTAGCAAAAAGTATAAATTTTGTTAACATTTCTATCGCACCAATGGGTATTTGCCAGAATGCAATGCGGCGCTTACGCGCTTCCGTATGTCTTCTCTAAACCAGCCACGCAGCAAAATTGCTTCGAAAAAAGTTCAAAATTTTAAGAAAAATTCTAAATAAAAAAATTCATTTTTTTTTTTCAAAAAAAAAAGACAAATTTTTACAAAAATTTCAAAATTCTCAAAAATCTCTTTTTCAGAGTTTTCAAAAAATTTTAAAGATTTTTTTAATATTAATTTTCGGTACGTGAAGTCCAGCAATTTGCCTTAAGGCACGATGCCATACACCACTAGTTTTATTATCTATTTTCTATATTTTTCATATAGATATTCACTTACTGGAGTTTACAAAATTACAATAATCAAATAAAAATGGAAATCCCTCAAGAAGAAAAAGATCCAAAAGAAATCCGGGCTCATCCGGATTTTCCGGAATTAGACAAAACCGACGTATGCATTTATCCGAGTTACACCCGTATGCAACTACCTTAGTAAGTATATAAAAAATATATATAAAAAAAATTCACTGAACGCAAACTCCTCCTAAACGGTTACTCGAATTTTGATAAATCTTTTTGGAGTTTATTAAGGAAATCGACTTACGAGGTCTCAAACGTTTTAAATCTTTCAGTCAATTATCCTTGTGTCATGTTTAGAATGTCATGTCACTTAACTGTTGTCAGTGGTTGTGTCTGTAAAAGCATCCTTGACACCTGTCATAGACTATTTAAAGATTCTGACACTTGTCAGACAGGTTAAAGCTAGTCCGGTAAGAATAGACCAAGAAACGGTTCAAAATTTGTAAAATAGATAATAAAATTGAAGGACCTTGGAAGTTTTGCCGAATCTTGTTTCATTCAACTATATTATTATTGTGTTAATCTTCTTATATATAGAAATGAATCGCAAAATGTGTTGGTGAGCGCATAACTCAACAACGCCTGGACCGATTTGGCCAATTCTTTTTTTAAAATGTTCGTTGAAGTCCAAGGATGGTTCTTACGGCGAGAAAAAATCGAATAATTGCCGGGAAAACCCTAAAAGCAGTCCTCTTTCTTTTGCACATACAAACGTTAGTATTTTCATATTTTTGCCATCGGATACGGAATATTTACTCAAGTCAATAAAGCGTTTTTACTGTGCTCCAATTTGTATGAAATTTTGAAATTAGGTTTATCTTACTCTCAAGTTCAAAAGTGAAAATAATTTAGGATCCTTTGCCCTCTCAGTGGTGTAATTTCGTTTTTTTTTTCAAAATAGCATCGGATATCGATAAAAGAACTAATTATAAGAAAAAAATGTTTCATAATGCTTTTCAAAAAGACAAATACTCATCATTTTATTCAAAGCTGTTGTACATTTAAGATCCATATGGGGGGTGGATGTATATACATTTCGGTATAGACTGTAGAGTAAAAAAAAACATAATAATTTTTAACTAATTGGTAAATATCAATATAGGTTATTTAAAAAAAAAATTAACTTTTGAATTGTAAACATAAGTGCAGGACAACTGTGGGTCATCTAGTATAAAATAAATATTTGCCAGTTCTTATATAAATTTGCAAGTTAATTTAACATGTACTTTTGTATACTCTTTATAAATTGTTCAAAAGTTTTGGCAAACTTTCAAACGTGATTTTGGAGTATACAGAGTTGATGTAGGTTATTGTGATATTTAAAAATATTATAGATTTTTTAATTTTGTACAAATCCACTCAATATATTATATTAATTGAATGAATATTTTAGAAGTTATGATTTTTTTAAGGAATAAAAGCACATCTTTATAAATTGTGGAAAATTTTCAAACGTGATTTTGGAGTATACAGATTTGATGTAGGTTCTTATAATATTAGACAATGTGGTAGATAATTTAATTTTAAACAAATTTGCTAAATATAATATTCGTATTAAACATTTTGATTAAAAGTTATGAATTTTTTAAACAACTAGTGCACAAAATGATGGTGTAAATACCATGTAGAACGTTACGTAATTTTTTTTTTCATAAATGTCATTTTATTATGATTTTAGGGTATAAGGAGTTGATGTAGGGTCTTATAATATTTGACAATGTTGTAGATACTTTATTTTAAAGAAATTTACTTAATATATTATATTAATTAAGTGAATATTTTAAAAGTTATGAATATTTTTACTTTTGAATTGTAAACATAAGTACAGGGCAACGTCTGTCGGGTCATCTAGTATATATATAAAACTAAAGCTAAAATTTTTCTTATCATTTTATTACTATTTTAGTCGTGTGGTTTGTCGCCAAAGATACGCAAAAAATCACAAAAGATATTGCAAAGCATTTTTGAACGAGTTGAAATTTTTAGAAAGAATGCAGAGTAAAGCCTTGGACGGCGTCAGGATACACAGGTGAAAAAATAATATAAAAAATCCTTAAAATTATTATTATTAATATTTTAATTTTTTTACATTTAGGCAATTCTCTCGTGGTATAATTAGTCCAGTTTTCAAATCTTTATCCCAAATGCAAAAGGCGATTGCTGATCCTCTAACACCGGCACAACGTTGGCGATTGGAGCAAAAAATTATGGGCAGGGAATTTGGGAAAATAAATTAGTAATAGATAGTAAAATTGTAGATACACAAATGATATTAAACAAATTATAATGAGCATTATTCATTCTTGTTTAAGCGCCTAAACAAAATCTGCCCTTACAACAACTCTCTTATACTCTTCAGTATCATTCGATAAAAATATATTTATTTCGATCAATAAATATATTTTTATCGAGTTTAATCTTTGGTATTATATACCTGAAAGATTCTAAAATAATATAAATTTATAATTTTTAACTTACCGAGATTTCCAAACCACATATGAGAGATTTCATGAGCAACTACGGTGGCGACTCTTTGTTTATTAGCCGTAGAGCTGATGTTCTTATCGTAAAATAAGGCTGTTTCCCTAAATGTTACCAAACCCCAATGCTCCATGGCACCAGATACAAAATCTGGGATCGCTATCATATCTAGAAATAAAAAAAATTAAACTTCTATTAGTAAAAATAAAACGTAAAACTCGAATTGACAAAAATCGGTTCAACTAGATAAAAATAGATCAAAATCAATTCAAATATATAAAAATCCATTCAGGCTCATAAAAATTCATTCAGGCTCATAAAAATCGATGTAGAGTCATCAAAATCCATTTAGAGTCGTAAAAAGCCATTCATATTGACAAAAATCCATTCAGATCCATAAAAATCCATTCAGATTCATAAAAACTCGATTCAGATTCAGAAAAAATCGATTCGAATTTATCAAAGTCGATTATGATTTGACAATAGTCGATTTGAATCGATCAAAGTCGATTTGCATTTAAAAATAATTCGAATTGATTAAAATGATTTGAAATAATAAAAATTATTTCGAATTGACTGAAGTGGATTAGAATTCATGAAAATCAATTCAGGTTCATTAAAAATCGATTCAGATTCATAAAAATCCATTCAGATTCATGAAAATCCATTCAGATTCATAAAAATCCATTCAAATTCATAAAAATGCATTCAGATTCATGAAAATCCATCCAGATTCACAAAAAGTCAATTCAGGTTCATAAAAATCCATTCAAATTAATAAAAAGTCGATTCGAATTCATAAAAATCGATTCGAATTCATAAAAATACATTCAGATTCATAAAAAAATCGATTCGAATTTATCAAAGTCAATATGAATTGACTATAGCTACTTAAATTCATATAAATCTATTCAAATTCATAAAAATCCGATTCAGATTCATGAAAATCCATTCAGATTCATGAAAATCCATTCAGATTCATGAAAATCCATTCAGATTCATGAAAATCCATTCAGATTCATGGAAAATCGGTTCGAATTAAAAAAAAATACATTCAAATTCATAAAAATCCATTCAGATTCATGAAAATCTGTTCAAATTCATAAAAGTCGATTCAGATTTATAAAAATCCATTCAGATTCATAAAAATCCATTCAGATTCATAAAAACCGATTCGAATTGATAAAAACCGATTCAAATTGATCAAAGTCGATTCAAATTAACCAAAGTCGATTCAAATTAACCAAAGTCGATTCAAATTAACCAAAACCGATTCGAATGAATAAAAACCGATTCGAATGGACCAAAACAGATTCGAATTGTTTAAAATGAATTAAAATATTTTAAATTGGTATAAAATTGTTGTAAATCGTCCACGATTAAAAAGATTGCTAAAAGTAGTCCAGAACTACTAATAGTCATCCACAAGAACTACAAGTCGTTCAGAACTACCTTAAGTCGTCCAGAACTTCTAAAATTTGCCCAGAACTACTAAAAGTCGCCCAAAACTACTAAAAGTCGTCCAGAATTACTAAAACTAGTCCAGAATTAACAAAAATATACTAGAATTATGATAAGAAGTGTATTTAGAAAATAAAATTATTTTTACCTAATTTTGGAAGTGGGTAGTTGACATCAAAGTACCTTATGTAATATTCTGTAACTTTTACACCAGTATCAGTAGCTAAAAATAAAAAAAACAAAATTAAAAAAAGTATACATTTTAAATAAAAAAGTCCATTAAATCTAGTTTGAATAGATCCAGATCAAATTTTAAGGGAAAGTTTAAATATTTATTTATTTATTTATTTTTAAAATATATAGCCCACAGATTTCTTCCAAGAGGACTCAAAAATACAATTATTTTACATAATGAATAACAATTAAAATGTATACAAAATTACAATATATAGTTGTTAACACAAAATGCTTAACATAAAATTACATATAATGCAGAATGTAACAATATTATTTATAAACAGAATAAGATAAAATAATGAGATATTTGAAAAGAAAATAAAAAGGTTAACTTGAGGCTAAATATGATTTTTATCCCTTACCAAAATTAACTTTTTCCTGTTGGGCCGGAGTGGCATATGATCTGAAATTAAAGCTTTGGCCATCTGCATTCTGGATTTTGGCCTCTTTGTATTTGAAGTCACAGACTATAAAACAGGCCAGATAAGTTGACATAGGGACACTCTTTGCAAAGTGGACTGTGGTCAGGCCCTTGGAAGGGACATCTGCCTCTGCTTTCTAAAAGATACATAGAAAAATAAATTTCTTTGAACTCTTGCTCTAAATTATAATCATATTATTATAATTATACTAGCAAACCCGACGAACTCCGTTTCGCCACCAGATGGTTTCGTGAGAAAGATGAAGAAATTTTTTGTTTGTTTTATATTTGAAAAGGAAAAATTTGATTTTATTACACAACAGTAATGAATTTATTTCGATTACAAAAATCAAAGTGTTTTTTAGTTGAACTTCTCTAAGTAAATGAAAGTGAATCCGCGAATTATCCGTTTCATTGAAGTGCTCTTTGGTAAACCACATTTTTTGTTTTTCGGTCTGACGTTAACACAAACGAAGCGGTTGGTTTTCCAGCTCGTGAACAGGGAACGTATAACTGCCCATGTGAAAAACAATGATTTTTTAAATAATCTATTTGAAATTTATCCCGCAAACACTAAGCGATTGGCCTTGAGACTTGTTATTGCGAAAGACCAGTCGGAATCATTGGTATGTCACCAAATCGCCAGCAATTTTTGATTGAATGGTGAAATTCAGGGCGTGTACATCATTATTCTTTGCGGCAAGAATTGCTCGTTGACTTAACCAAGCATAATTCTGAAAATTCTCACTAATGTTGTTACTCGAATTTTTAATTACGGTGCGTGAAGTTCCAGCAGCTTGCATTAAGGCACGATACCACGCACCACTAATATTCTTAGCTATAAACCTTGCGGAGCCCGAGACCTTTCCAACGAATGCAAAATTGTCGAAATAGGTTCGTGCGTTCTGGAGTTATTTCGTCAGGAAGGAAAACCCGACTTATTTTTATATATATAGAAGATTATAATTATATTATTATAATTATATTATGATTATATTATTCTTACCACTTCGTTCATATTAGACAAGGCAATGTAGTCGTCTTCGGAAGGCCTGACAATCCTGACCGTAAATTCGGCCTTCATAGCAGGTTCATCGAAAGAGGGAAAGGCCAGCCTTGCAAAAGTTGGCTCGAACTTACTTGTAGCAATTACTCTGAAACAAAAAAAATAGAAATAAGACATTGAGATAAAAATAACAATAATATATAAGATATTTTTCAGGGGATCTCTCAAGAAATCGAGTAACAAAAAGTGATTTTTAGTCTAAGTAAGAAAATTTGTTTTTTTTTAACTTTATGTTATAGTAATCGTAAAAAAATCGTAAATGAAATTTTTTGCATATCTTCACGTTTCACACGTTTCTGAACATTTTGGCATACTTAAGAAAGAATGGATGTATGTATGTGTGTGTGTGTGAAAATTTGATTTTTAATTAAAATATTATAAGAAATATCTAGCCAGGGTCTTGACATACTAGATAGGTGAAAGCCCAGTGGTCAGAGATTCTTTACTCAATTTAAAAAAAAAAAATATTGTTCATTTTAAAGATTGTAGGCCATTCTGAACATTTCTGGACGATTTACAACAATTTTATACTATTTTAAAATATTTTAATTCATTTTAAACAATTCGAATCGACTTTAGTCAAATCATATTGACTTCGATCAATTCGAATCGATTTTTTATTAATCTGAATGCATTTTTATGTACTTGAATTGATTTTTATGTATCTGAATGAATTTTTTATGAATTCGAATCGATTTTTATGAATCTTAATGAATTTTTATGAATCTGAATGCATCTTTATGTATCTTAATAGATTTCCATAAATTCTTATTAATTTTTTATGAATCTGAATGAATTTTTATAAATCAGAATGGATTTCTATGAACCTGAATAGATTTTTATGAATCTGAATGGATTTTTATGAATTAGAATGTATTTTTATGAATTTGAATGTATTTTTATGAATTTGAATGCATTTTTATGAATCTGAATGGACTTTGATGAATTTGAATGGATTTTTATAAATCTGAATCGTTTTTTATGAATTTAAAAGATTTTTTATGAATTTAAATAGATTTTTATGAATCTGAATGGATTTTTATGAATCTGAATGGATTGTTATGAATTGGAATCATTTTTTTATGAATCTGAATGGATTATTAAGAATGTGAATGCATTTTTTTGAATCTGAATGGATATTTATAAATTCGAATCAATTTTTTACAAATCTGAATGGATTTTTATGAGCCTGAATGGATTTTTATTAATTTGAATGGATTTTTGTGAATTTGAATCATTATTTTATGAATTTTAATTATTTTTTTTAAATTTGAATGGCTTTTTATGAATCTGAATGTATTTTTATGCATCTGAATAGATTTTTTATGAATCTGAATGGATTTTTCATGAATCAACGCATTTTTATGAACTTGAATTGTTTTTATGTATGTGAACGGATTTTTTATGAATTCGAATCGATTTTATGAATCTTAATAAATTTTTATGAATCTGAATGGATTTTTATGAATCTGAAACGACTTTTATGAATCTGAAACGACTTTTATGAATCTGAATAGATTTTCATAAATCTGAATAGATTTTTATGAATTTGAATAGATGTTTATGAATCTCTGAGTTATTTTGCCCTCGATGACCCAATTAAATATAACCTTCAAACAGGTTTGAGACTTTAGAAGTCTTAAAATAAAATTTAAATATATTTTTATATCAGTCGAAAAGAGTTTTATTTTATTGTATTAAATTTTATAAATAAAATGCTAGGTCCATTGACACACAATTTTTAATTCTTCTCAGAAGCAATTCGTGACCCATTGTTGTTAAATTCATTACGTGTTGTGTTTTTATAGTTATTGCTTGTCATTCGCAAAAACATCTTAGAAATATATATATGTATATATATATATATATATATATATATATATATATATATATACAGAGAATTATACCGTTACGAAACGTATTTTAACACAAAGAAAAAAAATGCGATTAGTACGTGACTTGAGTAAAAAAAGGTACGATTTCTTCAATTTTATCATCGTTTGATAAAAAATGAAATCTAAATTTGCACCAGAATTTACATTTCTTTAAATTAAAAGACTATTATTCACAAAACTTGTAAATTGTTCACAAATATCAATTTAGTTAAAATTCTACGGTTGAAAAAAGTGTCTCATTATTTAGATGAAAAACCAAAAGGTATAATACATTTATAATAAATTTTGTAATGTGTACTTTTATTCTAAACTTTAATAATTTTTTTTTTTTATTAATATAACTAATATATATATATATATATATATATATATATATATATATATATATATATGTATATATATATATATTATATTTAGAAATCTCTCCACCGTTGCGGTTTGCAAGTACAAAAATTTCACTTTTATTTCTTCGGTTTAGAAATACTCGGTGCAATTTCCTACTATTAATAATTTCTAAACAAATTTCATATATGAGTTATATAATACAAATAATATATATGTAATATACATGTATTACGTAATGAAAATGATATGTAATTTTGTATTTATTCATTTCAATATAATTATAAACAATTATTTGTTTATCAAACCAATATGAGTCAAATGTATATGTAAACTTTGCTCGGTGGAGAGAATAGAAATAACGTAAATTCAGTTATATGACAAAACTTATTGAGAAATTTATTCCATTAAAATCAAAATTAACTAGTGGTGTATGGCATCGTGCCTTAAGGCAAATTGCTGGAACTTCCCGTAGCGTAACGAAATGTTCGAGGATTACTGAATGTTTTCATATAGATTTTTATAAATACTGTAAAATTGTCTAATATTTATAAGAAGTATATAAACTAAATTGCAAAATTGAAAATATTTGTTTAAAGTATATTAGAACTTAAGTCAGAATTTGCCTTAAGGCACGATGCCATACACCACTAGTTTTTGTTTGGTTTAACCTATGTATGAAATAGCACAATCTTAGCAATTTATTTTGTTTACAGTGTTGTATTTTAAGTATAAATTATGTAGTATGTTGAAAGCAAGTATTATATATATATATATATATATATATATATATATATAGTATAAAGTAATCCTTGTATCTAACATACATATATCACAACAACAACTCAAGACGTAATTCAATTAAATAATTTACATTTTTTCTTTCTTGTTCGAGAATCCAATTAGTTGTTTCATAAGACACGATATATATATATATATATATATATATATATATATGTATAAATGAAAATATATGTGGGAACACAAATGATCAAACATGAGATTAATGAGTCACCTCACGAACTGAGGTTATTAAAGGCAATTGTATGTTAGTGTGTTTTCTCATAGAAATATATAAATTATATATATATATATATATATATATATATATATAAATATATATATATATATATATATATATCAACTATAGTCTCCCATTTTTTGCCAAAATTTTTCATCAACGTTATAGTATTCCCATTATTAATGTTACTATTATCCCTCGACTACAAAGTTGGTGCTTTTCTCACACTATTATTAATACTTCAAAATATTATTAAAATTTTAATAATTTTAATATTTTTCCTTAAAGTAGAGGCTTTGAGGTATTTTATGTGTAAATTATAAGACTGTAGTACAAACGGTTTGTCCAGGGTAATTTTTCAAAACAAACAATATAAGTAATAAAAATGTGATACATTTTAGAAGTAAAAATATCATTAAGTTAAGGAGTACAACTAGTGTAACCGCCTAAAAAAGGTGATTTTTGGAAATTTATATTAAATAAAACACTTTATCAATTATTTCAAAATTTTAGGAATATATTTATACATGTTTTAAGAATACAGAGTAAAATTTTTGAAGAAAAAAAAATAAATATTTTTTAAGTTATCGTCGATCTCCAAACAGCGCGACAAAAAAAGGCACTGCTGTAGTGATTTCGGCCTTCTACGTGGATGAAATTTAAAAAAGAAAAATCTCGTTAAACTAGATAATATTGTCTGTAAAATGAACTACGATAAAGAAAAATAAATAAAAAAATGACAAAATGGCGGCGATTTTTTAAAAAAAGTCGAATTTTACCCAAAACTTTGGTCGTTTTTGGACTGCAAAAATTCGATTTTTGATCTGATAAAAAAATCGATACTTAATTTTACGGAGAACTATATTTAGAACATGTAAAAAAAATTCGATAGTGATCGGATCATTTGTTTTTGAGTAATCGCTGCAGCAAATTCGGAAAATGCTGTTTCGAGAAAAACGCGTTTAAAGATAAAATGATCGTTATACTATATACTATGTATATACTCTTTAAATGGCTGTTAACTCAAAAACTATTTAAGATATCGATTTGAAATTTTGGTATGTTATTTTTAAAGATATAACCCATCGAAATATGGAAAAATTGAAAATTCGATTTTTTGAAAATTTCACACTAGTTGTGCCCTTAATAATTGCAATATTTGTATTCAAATTTTCCTTCACCGTATGTTCTAAAACACTTGTCGGTTTATATTAGAAAGTTGATATAGTGTGTGCTGCTTTTTTTAATTTGCATATTGGAATAGATAATTTATTGTTTATTTATATCATAAACTAATAGTCATAGTCTAGAGTGCATTTTATATGAGATTACAGAAACAGGTTTGCAATTTGCTGATGAATATGCATGTAGCAAATATATTTATAATTTAATCTCGATTTGTGTTATGTAATGTATGTATATATATATATATATATATATATATATATATATATATATAAGGCGCCTTCTAAGCAATTATTGCATTCTTCAAGAAACTGAAAGTGCATTTCAAACAAGAAGATGCATTGTGATTTATTCATTTCTGACATGGAAAGGAAAATTATATATATATATATATATATATATATATATGCAGAAATAATTCTATATTTCTAAATAAAAATTTTCCCCACCAATCATCTTTTACCTTGTCTGGTTCCTTTCCTCATCCCAATAGTTGCTCTTATAAAATCCAACAATCTTCTTTCCATCGCCCCCAAATTTTCCAGTATAATTCAAAGTCAAATCGTAAACTCCTAAATCCAAAACATCACGAAATTCTACAATCCAATAATCCAACGACCGATTTTCGAACACTTTCACAATTTCAGGCACTTTCACATCACTAGTGTTGAAGGAATCACTTTGGGCACTTGTGGGGGTAAGATCGACGTTCGATTGTCTTTTGGAAAAATTCGATTGTCTTTTATCGATTTTGTGGGATGTTATGTTGAGATTTTTGGAGTGTAAGATTAAACGTTTTGTTGGATCTGTCACATTTATCTAGATAAAAAAAAAAAATTTTGGGATTTTTGGGCAAAAATAAGACAAAATTGGTGTTGGCAACTTAGGAGCTGGTTTTTGTAGACGTCTGCAGGGTTTGTCGGTTTTCAAAAACCGGTTTTAAAAATCGTTTTTTTGGCGAAAGTTATGGAATTCTATAACCGGTTTTTCAGTGGAAAAAGTCGGTTTTCACTGTATAAATGGAAAACGACAAATATAACCAAATATAAAAGATAGATGAAAGCGTTTTATTCTTGAAATCATATCGATTCAATAGCATTTGATATCTTATCAGTCTGCAATAGTTCCCAGAAAGGTTTTGTATATATTAATGTTAATTTTTATATTAATTTAAATTAGTGTGACTTTTTCTTGAAGAAGTAACTTCATCTACTTAAACTTAAAAAAAGAGTTTTAAACCCTAGAAGCCACAAATTAAAGAACAAATTAATATATCATATATCATATATTAAATCAGGCTTTAAAAACAATTAAGCATAATTTGGTCGGAAGTATGAGAGTATTTTCTATTTTGTGAGTAAACAAAAGACACGTGTAAGTAGCAATTCGATAAAGGTTCTCAATTTTTTTAAATCATATTTTATTAAACAAAAAATAATTAGAATGTTTAAAATAATAAATCAAATGCTCGGAACAGATATAAAATTTTAGCTTAATTGTTTTTAAAACTAAAATTGATATTAACAATATTTTCATTCTTATATGTGAAAATGATGCACGAATAACGAATAATTATTTTCAAAGTTATTTAATCAAGATAAACTAATATTTTTTAGTTCTACTAATTAAAATTAAAATAATTTTGGTCACTATCTATAATAAAATAATGATGTCTAAAAACCAACTGTTGTTTTTGCAAAATTTTATACCAATTGGTAGACCCTAAGTAGGGTTTATATAAAAACCGACATTTCAGAAAACCGGTTTTCGATCTTTAATTTTATTAAAAATCCGGTTTTAACCGGTTTTCGAATTTTATATAGAAAATAAATTTTGCTCGAATATTCTGTAATTTATCCGCACATTTAGTGTAATTTAGAATAGTATTTGACTGAATTTATTTATTGTTCAATTTTATAGATAGTAAACAAAATTATTTTAATTTCAATTAGTAGAACTAAATAATGATAGTTTATCTTGATTAAATAACTTTGAAAATAATTATTCGTTATTCATGCATCATTTTTACATATAAGAATGTGTTTTCGAATAAATAAATATAATACATTTTTAAATAAAAAAAAATCATTAAATAAAAAAAAATTTAAAAAAAAAATTAGATACATGTTGATACATACTTGGTAAGATCAATTTTAGTTTTAAAAACAATTAAGCTAAACTCGGGTATTGTCTGTTCCGATCAATTTTAATTAATTAATTTTAAACATTCTAATTGTTTTTCTGTTTAATAAAATATGATTTCAAAAAACCGAGAACATCTATCGAATTGCTACTTAGACGTGTCCTTTGTTTACTCACAAAATTTTCTGAAATAGAAAATACTCTTATACTTGCGACCAAATTATGCTTAATTGTTTTTAAAGCCTGATATAATCATTCTAAGTTTTTTGTTCTTTAATTTGTGGATTCTAGAGTTTAAAACTCTTTTTTTTTCAAGTTTGAGTAGAGGAAGTTACTTCTTCAAGATGAAGTCACACTGATTTAAATTAAAATATACGCTGGTATAAAAATCTAAATTAATAAATACAAAACATTTCTGGGAACCATTGCAGACTGATGAGATATCAAATGCTATTGAACCGATATGATTTCAAGAATCAAAGCGCTTGCATTTATCTTTTATATTTGGCTATATTTATCATATTTCATTTATACAGTCCAAACCGACTTTTTTCACTAAAAAACTGGTTTTCGAAGTTCACAATTTTCGTCAAAAAAACAGTTTTTAAAACCGGTTTTTAAAAACCGACAAACCCTAATCCTAAATTGCCAAAACCAAATGCATCAAAAAACCCACCGTCAAAACCAAAAAGCCCTCAAAATCCTCATCACCACCATCAGGCCTATCCATCAAATAGGGCCTCAACAATAAATCATAATGCACTGGCACCACACCAGTAGGCAATCTAAAAGTCAGCTCATCCTGGACAACAAAATCATCTATTACCCCATCATCAACTTTTGGAACCAGATTAATAAAAGTCTGGTTGTACTTCCTGGATATCTTCGTCTGGTTAACATTATCCTTAGTAAAATTATTCAAAGTCTGCCTATTAATGGCTCTCATGATGGCTATCCTCTCCAATTTTTCTGCTAAGACATCTCCTACAAGGACCAGGGATGCTATGAGGCATCCACAAAGGATCAGGAGAAATATGCAGGATCCTACGAGAGTCAGCACCAGGACACTTTTTGGTTTTCTTCTCGTCCTGGTACGATCTGAGGATGTCGATGATGATACTCGGTGGTCTTCCATGGTGATGAAAATAGAGATGGTTTGTAGAAGAAGCACTTCACATTTTTTTTTATTTTGTTCAAATAGTTTTCTGGGGAAAAATTGGTGAACTGTGGTTGAGGGTTCTGTACCAGCAAGGTTGTGTGTTTGTTTATAATTCTTTACAATTCTTGTAAATTTAAATGGTTTGTGTGATTTTAATGAAATATTTAACTCAGTGCAAAATTAAATTGTTTATAATATTATCTAATATTATAATGCGCTAATATTATTCTAAAAAAATGTCAAACACTTTAGTTATGTATTTAAAAATAGATTCCATACATACAAAATATATTTCAATTTAAAAGTGTGTAAAAAAAGTATACAAAAGCGCGTAAAAAATGTACAAAAGTGTGTAAAAATGCATAAAAGTGTAAAATATGTGAGAAAAGTGTGATAAAGTGTGTAAAATGTGTGAAAAAAATGTGGTAAAAGGTAAAATTATAAGCTTACTAAAGTGTTCAAAAGTGTTTAAAATTGTACAAAAAGGTAAAAAAGTGTACAAAAGTGTGTAAAAGTGTACAGAAGTGTGGAAAAATGTACAAAAGTGTGTAAAGAAGTGTATAGAAGTGTATAAAAAAAGTGTACAAAAGTGTGTACAAAAATATGTAAAAAAAAAATATGTATACAAAAGTGTGTACAAAAATTTACAGAAGTGTGCAAAAATGCGTAAAAGTGTGAAAAATGTATGGTCAAGTCAAAATTATAAGCATACTAAAATGTTTAAAATGTTTAAAAGTGTGTGAAAAAAATACAAAAGTGTGTAACAAATGTACGAAAGTGTGTAAAAATGCATAAAAGTGCGTAAAAGTGTAGTAAAGTGCGTAAAAGTGTAGTAAAGTGTGTAAAAATGCATAAAGTGTGTAAAATATGTGGAAAAAATGTGGTAAAGTGTGCTAAAATGTAACATTATACAATTAAGCGTATTAAAGTGTGTAAAAAAGTGTACAAAAAAGTATACAAAAGTGTGTAAATCTGTGTAAAAGTGTGTAAAAAGTGTAGTATAGTGTGTAAAAATGCGTGAGTAGAAGCGTGTTAAATGTGCAAAAACGTGTTAAAATGTACGTAAAAACGTGTTAAAGCGTGCTAAAATGGGTAGAATCGTGTTAAAGCGTGTAAAATCCTGCTAGAACGAGTAAAATCGTTTGAATATATGTAGTATGTGCTAAAGACTATTGAAGTATGTTAATGTGTTATAAAGTTTATAAAAGTGTATAAATGTGAGTAAAAGTATATAAAACTGTATCATAGTATATAAAACTGCATCATAGTGTGTAAAATTGTATCAAAGTGTACAAAACTGTATCAAGGTGTGTAAAATTGTATCAAAGTGTATTAAATTGTATCAAAGTGTATGAAATTGTATAATATATAACGTACGTACTATAATATATATAGTATACATACTATAATACAAAAGCGTGTTAAAATGTGAGTAAAAAGCGTGCTAAAATGAGTAAAATTCGTGTTGAAGAGTGTAAAATCCTGCTAAAACGATTGAGATCGTTTGAATATATGTAAAATCGTTTAAAAAAAAATGCCCTATAGAAAAATCATTTATAAATTTGGGTCATTTTTGCAATTTTCTGCAGACACAAATTTGCAAAACAAACAAATATTTATTGACACAGATTGTCGCTAAATTATTCTAAAAAAAATGACAAACACTTCAGTTATGTATTTAAAAATAGATTTCATGCATTTGAATATGCAAAAAAATAAATTTCATGCACAAATCAAGTGGAACGCAAATTATTAGAAAAAATATATGCGTGTAATTTCTATAGAGAGATTACGTAATTGTAAAATGGGACACTTTTTTGGTTTTGTGAAGGTAACTTTTGTATGGATTGTGATAGAAGGTTGTTTTTGTCTAAAGGTGGTAAAAACTGGATTAAATTTACTACAAAATGGTATACAAAATGTTTTTGTTAGATGTTTTGCGAAAATAATGCAGATGTTCAAACCTGCAACATTTTCTATACAAGTTTATTGAATATTCAGGCATTTTTTACAAATTTGTGATAATAAATTTATTTAAAGATCAAGATAAAAAATTTTTGTCTAAAGATGATTCCCACTAGACTAATTTGCTGCAAAATAGTATACAACAATTTTGAATTAAATTTTTTGTAAAAATTCTACATCTTTCATGGTTTCTAAGATTCTTACTAAAAAATTGTTACTTTCTACAGTGTTATGAGTACAACTTTTTAAAAATCAGGTTAGAATGTTTTTGTTCAAAGATGGCATAAACTAAATTAAATTTGCTAAAAATTCTCATCTACCAAATTCTAATTTATCATCTTGCGAAAATTCTACAGGACTATAATATAAGTACCAAAGTATATATGTAAAAAGTTATCCAATATTCAGGCCTTCATATATATTTCCAATAATGTCTAATAAATTTGTATTTAGCACCATTTTTTAGCAAATTTTATATAGTTTAAATCATCTTTAAATAAAATTTTGCTATCTGTGTCCAGAAAATAGTTACATGTACTAAAGCCGAAAAAAAACATCACACCAAATTGTTGGGGAATAAATCGACTCGCGAAGTATAAATATTATTATTATAAGAGGATGTTAACACTTCGTAATTTTAAATAAAACAAAGTCTTAATTATACAAATTGTAAAAGATTTTAAAATTCTATTCAGTCTCAAATATATATACACACTGAAATAAATTTTTTTTTTATAATTGTGTCAATAATTATTTGTTTGATTTGCAAATTGTCTGCAAAATAAACTAACGATGCATAAAATCGACCCAAATAATTATTCTATCGATAAATAAATTATCGATCGGAAATTACGTAAAGGTTCTGACAAAGCAAAAAAAAATTAGAAATTTTTATTTCCGTCGTTCCGAAATATTGGAAAGTTTTGCCTAAGTACAGGTTTTCACTAGCAATAATAATATACAAATGATAATCTATAATTAGTTGTATAACGATTTGACTGAAAAAATAATTTAGTACCTAGAATACTAATTATCCTTACTAAATCCTATAAAACAATTTTGCCACAAAAATTATACGAAAATAAGGATTGTTGGTACAGAACCCTCAGTGCACGACTTGATTTAAACACAAAAATTTCATAAAAACAAATATTTTACACACTTATTATATTAAAAACAATAAAACCATCCACAAATCACTTTTTTCCTTTTTTTTCACTTCAGTATCAAATATTTTCCTCAACAAATACGTTTTTCCCAATTTTTTTTTCGTCACATTTTAAAATAAAGCTTACAAAATTAAACTGTAATTTTAAAATATAAAAATTGTGTTTAAAACTATTTTAAAATTAATAAATTAACTAAAAGAACGCGTCCGTTCGAATAAAAATCCAACGTGAGACTGACGCGAACTTCCAATAAGAAAACAACTTTGCTGGGAACGAGTTAGACCGACGGCTGGGGTAAAAATACTAAAGAAAATATTAAGGACGTAAATATTACTAATTGAACTAAGTTTAACAGATAATTTTTATTTAACAAAATCCAAATTTGTGAGTAAAATCAAATAAATTAATAAATAATAATAAATTTATCAAAATGAATCAAATAAACATTCCATAAAAATTTAATATAGAAAATGCTTAAGATTTTAAAAATATGTGAACTGTGTTAATTTTTTTTGTAACAATTAATTTTGTTAATCAAAACTGTAGTAGTCTTACAAAATTTAAATGTTTAAATGTGAGTAAAAGTTTCGTTTCAAATGTGTGCACGTATATAAAAAATGTACAAAAGGGTAAAAAAAAGTTTACAAAAGTGTGTAAAAATGCATAAAGTGTGTAAAAAAGGTGTGTAAAAGTGTACAAAGTGTGTAACAAAATATACAAAAGTGTGTAAAAAAGTGTACAGAATGTGTAAAAAAAGTATACAAAATGTGTAAAAAGTATACAAATGTGTGTATAAAAAGTGTACAAAAGTGTGTAAAATACATAAAGTGTGTAAAAGTGTGAAAAAATTTGGTAAGTGTGCTAAAGTGTAAAATTTCAGCCTACTAAAGTGTGTAAAAAAGTGTGCATAAGTGTGTAAAAAAATATACAAAAGTGCACTAAGGTGTTAAAAATGTACAAACGTGTGTGAAACTGTGTGAAAGTATGTAAAAAGTGTAGTAAAATGTGTAAAAGTGTGAATAATGTTTTGTAAGTGTGTAAAATATGTGAAAATAAATGTGGTAAAGTGTGCAAAAGTGTAAAATATACTTTTTATTGTAACAATTATTTTGTTATTAAAAACTGTAATAGTCTTACAAAATTGAAGTGTTTAAATGTAAGTAAAAGTGTTTTTTTGAAAATCTACGAAAATGTGTGAATGTATATAAAAATTGTACAGAGGTGTAAGAAATGTGTACTAGCGTTTAAAAGTGTGTAAGTGTGTACAGAAAAGAGTACAGAAGTGTGTAATAAATGTATACGAAAAAATTTGATAAAAAAAATCACAAAATATCACGTAGGGATGGAGGGGTTTAGTAAGATATCACGTATATTTATGTTTTATCTGATTTTTTAAAAAAAAAATCCAAACATTTACAAAAAAAAAAAATCAAAAATTTTACCATTTTTTCCTGTATCGAAAAATACACATGAGGTTTGTAGGGGGAGGGAGGGGGTTAATTTTGAATATCACCACGTATCACCAAGGGGGAGGGGAATCCAAAAATCCTTAAAAAGTCGATCATGTGATTAATGGACGCCCCCTAAGAGTGTTTACTGTGGGAATTGAGAATCATCATTTTATTTGAAGCAGTTCTACATTTAACATCACTCATATATTAGTGTAAATGGAAATTCGAAAAACAATCATTATTATTTTTAACTGAACGGTAAATATTAGTATAAGATGTTAAAAAATGTAGATGTGGGTACAGGACAACGTCTGTCGGGTCATCTAGTATATATATAGAGTGGAAATGTGCGGAAATATTCGAATATTTGTAAAAATGTATAAAATTGTTTCCACACTCAACATAACTAAATAATAATTCAAGAAACCTAGACAATTTATATAACTCATTTTAATTTAATCTATTACTACTTTCTTTCCTTCAGCTCTCCCACTATCAAAGGTAGTATAGACAACTCTCTGTGTGTAAGAGCAAGAAAAATAGTTAGTTGTCTGTTCCATTGGCGTGTTAATAATGCAAGTGAAGACCTACAATCACAAACACAATACATACAGATGCTATGACCCCCCCTTAAGACAATATGCAAGAGTTTTGCTTGTACCTTGACCTCAGGTGAACCATCCAAGAGATGAGAAGATGAGACAAAATTATATATATATATATATATATATATATATATATATATATATTATATAGATATAGACATTTGCTTCAATTTTTTTACTAATACCAAGATTTCGTCTAAGACAAATTTATGACTTTTTAGGTACAAAATGACCCGGCGCCATAAATTTGATAAGGTGATAATGCGAAGACTAAACATTTGTAATATTTAAATACCGTTACGTTGTGTAAATACATTTCACCTAAATTTTATACACAAAATGAGTGTTAGGTCTTTGATTAAGCAATTTTTACCAACCTTTTGTCTCCGTGCTCGTCAGTATAAGTGCTCTGGTAAAATCCGGTGATTCTATCAGTCAAAGAGCCTTCGTAGTCAATTTCCACCTTATAATTTCCTGAAGAAAATCCATTTTTGGCCCGAATTATGTAAAAGTCCCTTACCGAATCCATTTCGATGTTTTTGGACGCCAATGGCAACTCGTCGCCTTTGGAATCTAAAACTCGAAATGAGGAAATCTGGAAAAAAATATAAAGGATAAAGAATAAATGGAATCAATTTTGCAATGTTTAATAATTATTTATAAATATACCGAGTTGCTGTAGGGCTTTATAATGTTAGACAATATTGTAGATTATTTAATTTACTTCAAATTTGCCAAATATACTGTTGATGTACTTCGAATAGTTTAAAAGTTATGAATAATTTAACGGAAAGTGTACAAAAAAGTGTATAAAACTGTATCAAAGTGTATTAAATTGTATCAAAGCATAAAGAATCGTAATAAAATAGTATAAAAAAGTGCAAAATCGTGTTAACATGTTAAAGTGTAAGTAGAAGCGTGTTAAAGTGTGAAAAAGCGTGTTAAAATGTAAAAAAAAACGTGCTGAAGCGTGATAAAATGTAAAAAAACGTGCTAAAGCTTGATAAAATGTAAAAAAACGTGCTAAATCGTGTTAAGATGTAAAAAAACCTGCTTAGTGTGCTAAAGCGTGCTAAAATGAGTAAAATTCCTGTTAAAGCGTGTAAAATCGTGCTAAAGCGTGTAAAATCCTGCTAAAAACGGGTTTTAAAAAAATGCTTTATTTATTACTGCATCAAAGCATAAAAAATCGTAATAAAATAGTATAAAAGAGTGCAAAATCGGTTTAACGTGTGAGAAAAAACGTGTTAAAGTGTGCAAAAGCGTGTTAACGTGTGAGAAAAAACGTGTTAAAGTGTGTTAAAGTGTGCAAAAGCGTGTTAAAATATAACAAAACATGCTAAAACGTGCTAAAGTGTGCTAAAGCGTGTAAAATCCTGCTAAAAACGGTTAAATCGTTTGAATATACGTAAAATCGTTTTAAAAAAAAGTGCTTTATTTACTACGATGTTATAAAATATTGTAGATTATTTAATTTACTTCAAATTTTCCAAATATACTGTTGATGTACTGCAAATAGTTTAAAAGTTATAAATAATTCAACGAAAAAATCTACTTGTATCAGTTTTCATAAGTTATTGGAAATTTTAGCACCAGAAAGTTGATGGATTTAGGTGTGTTACTATGAATTAGATAAAATTTTATTATTACCCTTAAGTCTTTTCCATGAAGGACCAAATCGTTCCTCTTAGCCTTGACCTGGACATCAATTCCTACATGTCCAGAAAATTTACCAGTTTTTAAATCAGGAGTCAGGAGCAGGTCGTAATGAACAGGTTTTACTCCTTCTGGAAGCCTGTAATCGATCTGAAAAAATAAAAAAAACAAAATTATATAAATTTTGGGTACAATAAAAAATAACACATTTTATACAATTTATTTTTAAAATAAAAAATAATAAGCAAAAGTCTTGGTTTAATATTTTTTGTACTAATATCCAGCCCTATATTATATATTGAATTATTTATTATTTAGATTATTATATATATATATATATATATATATATATATATATATATATATATATACACGTATATGTATATATATATATATTATTTATTTCTTATTATTTTTATTATTCAGCTTAAAGTTCAAATTTTGTTTTAAATTTTAATCAACCTCGTTCATAATAATCGAATGGTTTCAAATTTATAAGGAAAATATATAGAAGTGTTGCTTATTAGCAAACATATAATACAATTTAATTTTCGATAATTATTTAAAAATATACCGAGTTGCTCTAGGTTAATATAATGTTAGACAATATTGTAGATAATTTAATTTGCTTCAAATTTGCCAAATATACTATTAGTGTACTACAAATAGTTTAAAAGTTATAAATAATTTAACGAAAAGTGTACAAAAAAGTGTATAAAATTGTATCAAAGTGTATAAACTGTATCAAAGTGTATTAAATTGTATCAAAGCATGAAAAATCGTAATAAAATGGTATAAAAGAGTGCAAAATCGTGTTAATGTGTAAGAAAAAACGTGTTAAAGTGTGTTAAAGTGTGCAAAAGCGTGTTAGAATATAAAAAACGTGCTAAAGCGTGTCAAAGTGTGCAAAAGCGTGTTAAAATGTAAAAAAACGTGTTAAAATGTAAAAAAACGTGCTAGAGCGTGTTAAAGTGTGCTAAAGCGTGCTAAAATGAGTACAATTCCTGTAAACTGTATCAAAGTATTAAATTGTATCAAAGCATAAAAAATCGTAATAAAATAGTATAAAAGAGTGCAAAACCGTGTTAACGTGTGAGAAAAAAACGTGTTAAAGTGTGCAAAAGCGTGTTAAAATGTAAAAAACGTGCTAAAGCGTGTTAAAGTGTGCTAAAGCGTGTTAAAATGTAAAAAAACGTGTTAAAATGTAGAAAAACGTGCTAAAGC